CGAACCCGCGACCTTTGAGATACTACAGGGTGTATCAAAAAAACTGAACAGATTTGAAATTGATCTGAATTTCGCAAAACAGCTATTAGTATCCAGTTTTTAATGTATATAGCTTCTTTGGGTAATTATAATGTAGAATAATGAAAAAAAATTCTCGAATTCAAATTTTGTGAACCAGGGGGGGTGTCTTTTCCAACAGACTAAAAATGGCTTGCGCACGAAATTTAAAAGCTTTTTAAATCATATTTTGAGTTAATAGATGAAAAATGTGTTGGGTTTTTAATTACTGTACAAAATTTCAGACAATTTGCTTTAGTTTAAGCCCTTTAACTATTCGCGCAAACTTACATTTTTTCCTAAAAATCAGCTATTTGCATGCTTAATTAATGCCTTTGCCTAATTTGCATATGTCAGCAATATGCAAATTAAGTAAAGGCATTAATTGAGCATGCGAAAGGCTGATTTTTTAGGAAAAGATGAATAGTTAAGCGGCTTAAACTAAAGCAAATTGTCTGACATTTTGTACAATAATTAAAAACCCAACAAATTTTCCATCTATTAACTCAAAATATGATTAAAGCTTTTAAATTTCGTGCGCAAGCCATTTTTAGTTTGTTGGAAAAGACACACACCCCTGGTTCACAAAATTTGAGTTCGATAATTTTTTTTCATTATTCTACATTATAAGTACCCAAGGAAGCTATATACATCAAAAACTGGATACCAATAGCTGTTTTGCAAAATTGAGAAATTCAGGGTTTTTTTATACACCCTGTAGTCCAATGCTCTTGCAACTTGCAAGTTCAATGCAACTTGGCCTCGTAGCTCAGTTGGCAGAGCATTGGACTAGTATCCCAAAGGTCGCAGGTTCGATTCCCACCGTGGTCAGGCTAACATTTCAGCCTGCCTGGTGTGGATATACACTCAGAGTAACATCAAAAACATTAGTACCTTAGGTCCTTGGCAGGAATCGAACCTGCGATTCCACAAGTTCATGTATATATACGCTAGTATATATACATGAACTTATGGGTAAAGCTCGACAACTGGCTTCTTCAGCTCAGTTGGTTAGAGCGCTGCACCGGAATCGCAGGGCCGCAGGTTCGATTCCTGCCATGCAAGGACCTAAAGTTGCATTTTTCTCAGCCGTTCCTGGTTAGGTCTAATAAATGTATACAAATTTCCACTCGATAATTTCCATCTACAATACCCTTCAACTATTATTCAAACGAGTGAGACGCCAACAAAATCTTGATACTAACACAACTATATAAGCCAAATCATTGAAATCAACAACTATGTATATGACGCATTTCGCACCATTCCTCCACACTGCACCTCCTCGCACCGCCCTCTCATTTTATGGTAATGATGATGCGCCAGCTCATTCGCCTCCTCACAAATCCGGTTCGATCTGCCCCCATATTACTACTAGCGGCGTTTATCAGAATGTTGTATTTTTGCCAAACTTCACCGTTTCACGTTGGCGCGGTATATTTTATGATTGTCGCGCAAATTATTTATACATAGGCATGCCCCGCGGTAACTTTGCTCATGTGGACCGAAGGATACAATGTCCAGGGACAATGACTTGTCTCGGGGCAGCTGTTTGTCCCGAGATCACGTGAAGTCTTAGTAAATGTTTAAAGTTAAAAGTTAAAAGTATCATACATAACATTTCAAACTTGCTCTTTTTATTACGCGTTAATAGAGAACACACCTGAAAGATAAGTTGTTCTTTTTCAGGACAGGAGAACTGCTTGATTTCTTGAAATGAATTTCTTTCAGAAGGTCTTCAACTTTAGGCCCTCCGTAAATCGCCTTGTCCAAACTTATATAATTCGAATCTTTCCTTGCAAATTGTTTGTGGTGTTTACCCCTCAAATGCTAAAAAATTTTTTTAGAAAATTCAATTATCCCAATTTTCCCCATTATGTACATACATACACCCACTTTTTAAAATTTAGTTGTATTTGTTTTCATGTGTAGGGTTATAATAAATATTGCAATCACAAAACTGTATATAGTTGCACATTATCATAATAGAGTAAGAAGACATTTAATTTGTTAAGGACATCAAAGTACAACTGAAAAACAAGTACTATTGTACATCAGAGTTTCATTTCTAAATACTTACTGTATCTAAATCGGCATAGCGAACTTCACAACATTCACAATACCCATGTTTAGGGCGCTCATGTATTGGAGGTTTCCTATAGAAAACAGAACATTTGAAGAATTAAACGAAGGATGTCGTTTTGAACTGACTTGTAATACTATATGCTTGATACATATTTGTACAATAAAAAGCACGAAGTGGAAGCGAAGACATCTCCTTCAATAGTCATTTTCCAGTCATTTTCCAGTCATTTTGTTAAGCTAAGTGTAGAATAATTTGTAACACTATATTATTGATAACGCCGTAGGACAACAAACAATAGTTGATTTAGTCGATTGACGTAAGAAATGTATCATATGTCATGAATAATATACTTCGAGTAGATTGTCAGACTGAGCGCACGAGGAAAACCCAGAAGGATTGTCATGTTATGTATTTTATCGTTTGAATAGTTTAAATAAATATGTTTTAAAGTACGTGTGTGTGTTCTATTTCCGATGGTATTGTTCTGAAAGTATACAGTCCCCACGAAGCGCAACTGTCTTGCGGTGTAAGACAGAAAAGTGCAACACTTGGTCCTTCGAACCGGATAGATTACGAAAGAAAGAATCGACACAGATACGACAATGCCGTTGGACGAGCTGACAAAGGAAAGAAGAACACGCGCAGCGCACAGAGGTTCAGCAACGAAGATACGAACGAAGATAAAAGAATGTTTAGCGAATGCGAGTGAAACGCCTCAGACAGAGAAGAATGTGCTCAAACAGCTGAGAGACACGCTGAGCGCGAAACTCGAAGCCTTGAAACTTTTAGACAAAGAGATTGTCGAGGTACTAAATAATAGTGAAGCCGAATACGCAGAACAACAGCTGGAAAAGGGAATTCAGGAGACAAATGATACGCGAGCTGAATTACAAAAGATAATTCTCGACGTAAATGACGCATTGTTCGAAGCCTTGCCGTCACCACCACAAGGACAAATTACACCATCGAATCTGAGTATAAACGCTACACCCAAACAGATTGTTCGCGCAAAGCTCCCAAAGTTAGAGGTCAAAAGATTTAATGGGAAAATTCAAGAGTGGCAAGAATTTGGGGACTCTTTTGATAGCTCTGTGAATCAGAATGGCGCTCTATCAGAGGTAGATAGATTCGCATATTTGAAAGGTCTACTGGTTGGGCCCGCGCAGACAACTATCGCAGGGTTCACATTAACAGCAACGAACTATAAAGAAGCATTAGAACTCCTAAAGACACGATATGGAAAGAAAACGGCAGTACAGAGAGCCCATATTCAAGCGTTGATGAACATAAAGCCAGTATATAACGAGCGAGATATACGTCGACTACGGGAATTGTACCATTCCTGTGAGACAAACTGTCGAGGTCTGAAAACCCTGGGAGTGGATGAAAGTTCGTATACTACGATTGTTGTTCCGGAAATACTCGACAAGCTGCCGGAATCCCTTCGTTTGACGATAACTCGTGGGTCAAGTGGATCAGATTTTCTGAATTGGACGATGAAGGATATTTTAAAAGCACTTCTAGATGAAATTGAATTACGCGAAGCACACGAATCATCTACGACGAACACGTCAAAACAAGAACGAAGGAAACCACAGTTTCTAGATGGATCGGCGGCTGCTCTTGTGAATCATACCACCAGGGAAGGGAAGCCAAGATGCGTACATTGTTTACAAGAACATTTATCACAAGATTGTAAGAAAATTCAGGATGCTGGTAAGCGTAAACAGATACTTCGTAAGTACGGACGGTGATTTATATGTTTAAAAAGAGGACATATTAGTAGTAATTGTTTAAATACGAGTAAATGTAGTGCATGCAGTAAACGACATCATAGTTCTATTTGTGAGAGCCATGCTCTATAACCGCTGACGGGTCTATAACCGCTAATGGGTCTATAACCGCTGACGTCGTGCCAGTAAAGAGGAAGGAATGGGTGGAAATTAGAATGTTCGGACAGGAGAAAGTTGAAGGGAAGTTGAGAGAAGTGTTTGAATTGAGTGTAGCCCCAGTACAGGGGGAGAGAGTGTTAACATTGATGTTTATGGAGTAGACAGCATTTCACAGATTAGGAATGAGCATGTAGAGACAAGGAAGAAAGATTACCCACATTTGCAAGGGTTATGGATTTCCGGTGTTTCTAAGACCAAGAATGTGTTAGAAATAGAGTTACTAATTGGCGCAGATTATTTGTGGTTATTTCAAGAAGGGCGTACGGTTAGGGGCAAGAGTGATGAACCTGTTGCGGTACAAACCAAATTAGGATGGGTGTTTTCAGGTCCACTGAAGAGTAGCTCTGAAGATGATGGTCCTACATTGTGTGCACAGGTTGTAAATCTTATTGGGCATGTCACTTCATCAAAGAATAGGTCCCTTGAAGCATGTGTTGAAGAAAAATTATGGGATTATGAAACGCTAGGTATAAAGCATGAAGAGGAAGCTAGTGAGTTATTAAATGATTCGATACATTTCAATGGCCAACGATATAGTGTACGTTTACCTTGGAAGGAAGGGCATAGTTTAGGCCAAATAAAAAAACAAACTTGGTTAGCGTCACCGCCCGCCTCTCATGCTCAGACCTTTGCGCTATATACTGATCGATAGGAGCGCGTGGGCTTGGGTATACAAGGTTCTTATAGCAAAATGGCGGCCTTCGCAACATCAGTACAAAAAGTTCACCGATATGGTGGGAAAACCGCCCCCATATCCCCAAAAATACTATTAAAAAATTGAAAGAGTAATAATTAAAAAAAAAGCGCCCGCCCGCTTCTGAAAATTTGTGAGAGTGTGAAGCTAACCAAGTATTTTTTTTATTTGGCCTTATTGCCAACTATATATAGCTGTAGTGTGCAGAGATTAAAGGGACAGCTTTTAAGATTAAAGAAGGAGCCAGAAGTTTTACAAGAGTATGACAGAGTAATTAAACAACAATTAGAGCTAGGTATTATAGAACCAGTTGTAGAGTTAGAAAGAGCTGATAAGGTCCATTATCTACAACATCATGATGTGGTCCGTAAAGTTGCAAAGACCACTAAGGTCAGGGTTGTGTATGATGCATCGAGTAAAGAGACTAAGAAGGGTGTATCTTTAAATGACTGCTTGCATGTTGGGCCACCTCTATCCTCGTTGTTGTATCACATTACACTGCGTTTTAGAGAAAAGCAAATAGCGCTTGCCTTGTAGCAGATATAGAGAAAGCTTTTTAAATATTGAAACTGATCCGTGTGACAGAGATTGTTTGAGGTTTCTTTGAGTGGGCAACATACATGAAGATGAGGTGAAGCCAGTAGAGTATAGATTTTGTAGAGTTGTTTTTGGTGTGAACTGTTCACCATTTTTGCTGAATGCCACACTTCAACACCATCTTGACCGCTTTTCGAAGGGTAATCCGGAATTGACTCGAAAGTTGAAGGACAGCTTTTATGTTGATGACCTGGTAACTGGAGAACAAACCCCTGAGCATGCATTATCATTATATGAAGCTTCTAGTAACAATTTAGCTTCTGGGGGTTTCAAGCTTAGGAAATGGCTCAGTAATAGTAAACTTGTATTAGAGAAAATCCAATCAAAGGAAGAAATCAAGCCTGATAGATGAAACTTGGCATGTGAAGAAACATTTGCTAAGTCATTCCTTTGCATGACAGGCAAAAATGATACATCAGAGAAAGTCCTTGGGTTAGCTTGGAATTGTACAACTGACGAGTTTCAGTTTTTGTTTCAGGGTTTAGTTGAGAAAGCAAAATCGCAACCTGTTACCAAACGCAATATTCTTAGAATATTAGCTGGGTTGTTTGATCCATTGGGAATGCTTAGCCCAATGGTAGTAAGGATTAAGATGTTGTTTCAAGCACTGTGTTTGGACAAAGTAGATTGGGATTCTGAACTAAAAGGAAAATATTTGAAGCAATGGTTAGGTTGGGTTCATGATCTTGAAGTTGTAGGTCAACGTACGCAAAATCTAATTGGAAAACCCAAATGTTCATTACATGGGTTCGGTGGTGCTAGTTTGAAAGCCTATTGTGCAGTTGTGTATTATGTCTGTGAGTTAAGTGGTAATTATCATGTTGAACTCCTTACTTCAAAGACTAGGGTAGCACCAATTAAAGCACAAACTATTCCTAGTTTAGAACTGATGTCTGGATTAATTCTAGCTAGGTTGATGGATACAGTTAGATCAGCACTTTCAGTTGATGTCGAGATAAGCAACACCTACTATTGGCTTGACAGCAAGACAGCACTGTGCTGGATCAATAACCAGGGCGAGTGGAAACAGTTCGTCAGACATAGGGTTAACGAAATTTTAAGACTGAGTAAAAAGGAAGAGTGGGGACATTGCCCTGGCCTAGAAATCCCCGCAGACCTAGGATCACGAGGGGTATCCCCATCCAGATTGAAGGAGAGTGTACTTTGGTGAAGGGTCCCAATTGGTTGTTAGGTCCTCAAGTGGACTGGCCTGTTGCTACAGAGATTATAGAAACAGAAGATAGTTTGAAGGAAGTTAAGAAGTCGGTCACAATGACAGCGCAGGTTGATAGTGAATCAGCCAGCTTAGGGAATGTAACTGATGTTAAGGCATATAGTAAGCTTAATAAGGGTAACATAAGGGTAGCAGAATGTAAAGGCGAAATCACAAGATAGGGAAATTTATTTAGGTAATTTGACAGTAGAGGAGATAAGATATGCAGAGAGTGCATTGATCAAGGATGTTCAAGTCAGTTTGAGGAATAAGAAAGATTTCCAGCATTTAGTAAAACAGTTAAGTTTGGTTGATAGAGATGGAATTTTGAAATGCAAGGGTAGGCTCTCTAATTCACATTTAGAGGAAGCAACTAGGGAACCAATTATTCTCCCGAAGGAGCATTGGCTAACAAAGTTGATTATATCTGCATGCCATAAGCGAGTTCATCATTGCGGGCTCAGAGCTACTCTGGCAGTACCACGGACGTTAGGTAGGATTGACAGTCTAATTGTCGGTAAATAAAGATGAAGTGGTTCGAGGAGCGAAAGTGAGAGTGATGACTAAAGGAAATCCAGTATATCTTCATAGACCAGTTCAGAAATTGTATCCTGTAGAGTTAAATGAGAACGGAAGCAGTACGGAAGAAAGGATAATAAAGTGGATGGGTATGATAACCAGAAAGGAAAGGTGGAAAGCCGTGTGCGCAGTAGGAGAGCAGCAGCTTTGGATGCACGTTGGAGAACACAAGTCATGTTTGACCCTTACAGGCTCAAAGGGGGGAGTGTGTAGAATAATTTGCAATACTATATTATTGATAACGCCGTAGGACAACAAACAATAGTTGATTTAGTCGATTGACGTAAGAAATGTATCATATGTCATGAATAATATAGAGTAGATTGTCAGACTGAACGCACGAGAAAAACCCAGAAGGATTGTCTTGTTATGTATTTTATCGTTTGAATAGTTTAAATAAATATGTTTTAAAGTACGTGTGTGTGTTCTATTTCCGATGGTATTGCTCTGAAAGTATACAGTCCCCACGAAGCGCAACTGTCTTGCGGTGTAAGACAGAAAAGTCCAACACTAAGCGGGTTAAATTTTTTGTAGGATATTCAATAGTATAGTAATGTTATAAAAAACCGACTATTTTTTCATTAGCGAGTGCCGTCTACTTACTTGACAGTTCTCTCTCCACTTTTTCTCTTGGTAATACTGTCCTCCGAAGACCTTCGTCTGGGCTGTGGTCTGGGTGGATCAAAGGGGCAAACATTTGAACTATCAAATGTAATCTCTGGCCAAACTTTAAACTCATGAACAAGAGGTCTATATTTGAAACCTAGATCTTCAATTTTGATGTATGTCTCTTGCAATGCCACGACTTTTGGAAGTTTTGTTTGAGATACACGTTTTGAAGGTGATGTTGTTTTCCGCTTTGCTGCACCTTGCTGTTGTTGAGCTTTCAACATTAACTGAGAGATCCACTTCATCACATGATCAACATGAAGAATATTTACACCCCATGTACTGGCGTTGGTCAGGATATCAGTAGTTCCTTTCTTGAACCCAGCAGATCTTTGTGCGATTGATTTCCCTCTCATTGTACCGTTGGGAACTTGGTTTTGAATATCTAGGCCTTGAGGAGAATCTGTGCTCATTGGCGATGCGGCTGCATAATTTTTTATTGATGAGCTAAGATTTGAAATTACAAGAACAGTTGTAAAATGGGAATTTGTGTCCCTCTACAGTTATCTTTCCATCAAATTTTAAGTTATAAACTTAAGGTGGCTCCCTACAGTTCTCTAAAATTTTAGGTATTTTGGACAACTTTCGCTTTCAACCAAATTTATATTGAATGCACTTAAGACAGGGCAATATTACAATTACCATGCAGGAACGTTCAGAAGCTTTGTGCTGTCCATATATGAACGAACAGTGTCAGTTTTGCCATTGCAACCATGTCGTTTTATCTTTTGCACTTTTACTACTTACCGCAAAGTGCCCCGAAGGAAACCCGAGAAAAACAGCCCTAAAATCGAGTTAAAGTTGCGGACGTCATAAAATATCAATTGGACATGATTTATCTGCGCATGTGTGTAAATTATGCGTGAACAAAACAAAACGCGTGTGGTTTATAGTTGGTTTGTTTAGTAATTTCTATACGAAAATAGATATTTCTGACTTGTTTGACATGAAAATAGAAGAGTAATTAACAATTAGTCACGGAAACAGAGGTCAATAATTGTTTTAGCATATACAACAAAATAAAAATGACCAAAAAAAACAAAACATTTTTAAAACAATTTGTATTTCAGTTCCCATAATAGTTGTAAACAAAACAGTATTTTAATACGCTTTAGTAATTTTATTTATTAGAAATAGCTTTAAAGAATACCTCTACAAACTGTTAAACAAAATTTTGTGGCTTTCTTCGTGTTTGGCGAAACCCCAGCTTCGTTTTGTACAAACATTTGCTCGTCTGTAACCAGAACGAAACGGGAAGCCATTTTGATTTTGTCCAGAGGTGAATAGTGCAAGGATATCCGGAGCTGCATGAGCAACATTGGAAATACTAACAATAAAAACACTATTACGCATTGTATTAATCCAGCGTTTCTTACAGTTGGTTTTATTGTTAAAATCGAAAACATTCACTGACTACAAAGTTTGACTTTTCGTATAAAACAACTCGTAAGAGTTTTATTAGATTCAGCAGATAAATCAATACCTGTGAACTGAGTTGAACGACAGGATTTACATGAGTTTCGGTGACAGTTCAACTGTTCTAGAGTGCTTTGAAGACACAACAAGTTGAAAATTTGAGCATGATAAAAGACAATACTGAACACAACTGAAAGATAGGTTAGAACAGGTTGTTTCAACATGCATACTGTTCGAATTCTGAAAAATTTAGGATTGTAATGAAAAACAGGCGTTTTCTTTGTGGATTTTGCACGTTTACTTTACCCAGCCACGAAGATTCCACGCGCGGGTCGCGAGGATGACGTCTAATCTATACAAATCGTGTTTTTTAAACTGTGCTAACAGTGAGGAGCCACCTTAAGATAAAAAAAATAAATCTACATAATAAAACTACACTTTCATTCATATTCATTTCAGACAACTATAGATAAAGAATATATTTCATAATGCAGTTAGAGTGTAATTTTTTATTTGAGCGCAGTTACTCATGTGCTTTATTGATTCAGAACTCTTAATATGCTGGAAAAAATCACAAATTATGCTGTATATTGCACCAAAAAGGGGGCTGGGGAAATCCAGGACCTTCACAAAGGAAATGGTCTGTCACGACGTACTCTTTATACTGTAAATATGACCTGGTTTAAGTGGCAGAAATATGTGGTCTTCCTGTGAGTATAAACAATTGATGGCAAACGTGAAGAAATACGTAGGCTGGTAAATTTCTGTAATATCTAGGAGTTTCAAGTATGGGAAGCATAACGGAAGACTTCAGGCATCCAAACTGAAAGCAGGACAATGAACATTTGAAACAATAACTGAATAAGAGGAAAGAAGAGTACGGGAATTATGTGTGCTTAGAGTAGAAAATGAACCGTTGGAAAGGAACATTACATGATGAAAGGATACTTAAGCAGCTGACCCTACAGGAAGAAATAAGAAATTTAAGGGTATTTTATTCCCTATGTTGTACCTTCTTGTTTGAGGTATTGGACTGGGTGTTCCTGGACTGGGAGCAGATTGGCTGCTTGGTGATTTTCCACAGTCTCCACGACTTGTCACTAGGTAAGTTACTTCTTTTCTAAAGAATTCTTCAATTGTCTGAAAATCAAATGAACATTGTAGCGTTGAAGTGGTGTTGTTTGCATCATGTAACCAGCAAGGATATCATATTCATAAGATAAATAACAAGAGTTTGCCATTTATTCTGTTTATTACAAAAAACCATTTATATGTCATCGAGTTATAACTTGTAAACATAGTTTAACTTAAAGTGGCTCCCTATACAGTTATTAGTAGAATTTGAAGTTGATTTAGTAGACTTCATTCTCGCATCATGCACGTGGAAAATTTGTGGTCTTTTTTACACAAGCCGGCAAAATAGTTTTTGAGTGCTGGACTAGAAATAATTATGTCACTGAAATATTTATTTGTGTAATAGTTAATATCAAGACTTACTAGTTCTTTGCATTCAACTTGAATCATCTAGTGTTTTATTTTATATAAAATTATATTTTTATATTTATATAAAATTTTATATTATATCCTTCATGCATGAAACAGATATTTAGCGGAAAAGTTTTTAATAGTTTGAATAGTTTTACGGGCTTTTATTCTGATTTTCACAACAACTCAACAATTGCAAATTTAAAAAAGTTTAGGGCTGTATTTTCTGCTGCTTATTCTGATATACTGTATTTTCTGCGGTTTTCAATAATCTCAAACAAATCACAAATATTATTGAAGTCAAAATGAAAACGAATGTCAATCCACACGCATGTATAGACAGAAAGTACACAAAATATTATTTCCATGTGTGGAAATTGAAATCCTGATTTTTCTGACGTCATACACTAAAAATAACTGTATTTTTCTCGTGTTTACTTCGGTGAAAATTTTTTACAACTTTGTACACTGTACAGCAATCATACAATGCATAAAATATGCAAGTTTAAAAAAATTGTAGGAGCAGATTTCTTCAATTTTAAAAACCCGGTTTTTCGAAGTATTCTGGAGTAGGTGTTGTGTACTCAGGTGAATAATATGTTTGTGATGTTACTCTGAGTGTATATCCACACCGGGCGAGCTTGAAAAATATGCCCGGCCACGGTGGGATTCAAACCTACGACCTTTGGAATACTAGCCCAATGCTCTTCCAACTGAGCTACGCGGTCAGGACGGTTCGTGTAAGTGATATTTCGGAACAGTATCTAGTTCCTTCAATACCAATGTGTTCTAGTAATATGAATTTTTTTCTGTGTTGGTGTTGTGTACTCAGGTGAATAATATGTTCCCATCCCACCGTGGCCGGGCATATTTTTCAAGCTCGCCCGGTGTGGATATGCACTCAGAGTAACATCGCAAACATATATTCTGGAGTAATTGGCCCCTACAATTCTTTTAAAAAACTCTTATTTGAAGTAACTGTACATTAGCTTCATGAGTGCAGAAAATAAAAACGTTTCACCGAAAGAAATTTAAAAAATCAAAGAAAGAATGCAAAAATACGATATTTTTGAAATTACCTCGTTGCTATGGCAACAAGAATATTGAAAGATATTTTTGTTTTTCGTAATCTTTAGTATTTACGCAATGTTGTTGTTGTGTGCGATCTTCGTGATCATATCTTGCAAACTGAGGAAATAATGGGCCTTAAAAGCATGTGCAGTTGTGTGCTAAAACGTTACTATAAAACTGTAGGGAGTCACCTTAAACCATGCAGTGTTTGGCATGTTAATATAAAATACTCATATAAATGAATGCTTACCCCACCAAGCTGTTCAATTGTTTTTTTCAACTGAGTTGAATAACGGAAACCATTGAGATCAAGATAAAATAATTTTCCAGCAAGTGGTCCTGCCTTCTTTCCTTTGAATAGAAAATCTAATTTTCGTTTTCCTTTTGGGCTGAATTCTTAAGAGGTAAAAAATATATAATAAACATATATGAAGAACTCAAAATACACTGTATCAATTTGTGATAGGTTAATTAAACCATTTTCACAATGCACAACTGGTAAGCATGTTGTTTTTAACAAACCTGCCAAACCAGGTGCTCTTTCATGGGCAACATTGAAATAGTACTGTGCACACTGTTTTTTCAGCTACAGCTGTTATACAGTTCAAGCTGTATTGGTGCACAACACAGATGATAATAAGACATGTGATGCAGCGTATCAAAGCATGACGCTTGCGATTTACAACTTTTCCTGTGATAGATAGATCATAGCATAATGGGTTATTGCCATTTGGCCGTTTGCAGTGGCTGAAAATAGCAAAATAATTTGTTGACACAAACATATATGACTTCAGATTATACAATAAATTCAATGTTGCCACTATTTGTAACCAACGTTAATTCTACAAAATTTTCACATTTCTTGTCATTCTCACTTTCTAGCCAGAGCTGGGAGAAAGCACATATTGCCACTAGTGATGGGTGATACCAGCATATTTTTTAATTCGATACCGATACTTTTAAGATCGGTATCGGCCGATACCTATTTCGATACCAAAATGAACACAAAATTTCAATTTTCGATACCGGAAGTGAGTACTTAAATTGCTAGTATCGGCTACTTTCGATACCTGCCGGTCAGCAGGAAAACATTTTGCATTACTGTATATAACCTAAATAAAGCTATATGTAAACTAAAAGCCTGAAACGTAACTAAATATTTTCTATACATGACTTAGAACACCACATTAGGATTAAGACTTATTTTAGTGGTTCATGAAGTCACTCTTATTCAACCATAACTATGTTTGTACCAAGAAGTGAAATTAAACAAGTCGTAAGTATTGAACGATACCACGTCAGTAATCGATACCGATACCGCTGTTTGTGGTATTGCTCAATCTCATAACCAGAGCAATGCCTGTGCACGGGCTAGGATGGCATTGGCTCTGGGGAAATTGAATTTTTCCTGTGCTGTGATTGGTTTAACGTTTGTCAATCGTGTATGCCGACAAAGAACCGGAACCCCTAAATTTAGGGGTTCCGGTTGTCAATTTCCCCAGAGCCAATGCCTTCATAGCCCGCGCACAGGCATTGCTCTGGGTACGAGATTGGGTATCGCTGGTATCGAATACCGAGTACTCGGTATCGCCCATCACTAATTGCCGCCATTTTGGCAGAAATGTATATTTGACCCTTTCAATACATGGACCAGTGCTTTAAATACCCAAGCATCTATATAAAACTAAGTGAATATTTAAACCAAGTGAATATTTTAATCACTTTAATATTGGAATACAAACAAAGTATCGGTGAATTTAATAGTAACAAGCATTTACTTCATAAATTCAGTCTCAAAATCAGAGACAGACAGAATTAAATGCCGTGCCCGTTTCATTAAATGTACACTACACTCGAGCTCGGAGAAGACTTGAAGAATAAACTATAAGATTAAGTAGATCTTAACATAAGTACATCTTCTCCCCAATGCTGGTTCCCTACACTCCTTTATACTTACTGTATCTGTTTTTTAGTTCGTTGCTTGAAGGAGTCTTGGTTCGCTTTGGGCTCCGTCGCTCACGATTTCCAAGTTTTGGTTTGGCGATATTTACACTCGTCCGCCGAGTAGACATTGTTTTTGAAAATATTCTTACTCCAGATTACACCAAATACACAAATGACAAATAAAAAGCAGTTTAAAATAAGGGCAGAGTGAAATATTTCGGAAAACAGAAACGACAACACACACTAGTGACACTACAAAGAGAATATGCGACTGTTTAGAAATTATTTTTACGCGGGAAATACCGGCATTCTTCACGGTACGTTCGACACAGCTAACCCAAGCAGTGACTGCAGTACAAACTCCCCAATGTAATGATAAAAATCTCTCCGAAAGACAGACTCAGGGCCGCCCAGAGGGGGGGGGGGGGGGGGGCAAATTGCCCCGGGCCCCGAGTTGCTGGGGGCCCCTGAAAAATGTTTGTAGGGCCCCAGCCTTTTTTGTGTGTTAAATATTTCCGCGCAAAGGACAAGATATCTGTTTTCTTGGGCTAAGTACCGAATTTTGGCATAAAAAAATGAGATAAAGTCCCTCGAAAGCATTTGCAACGTACTCGTCCGGCAAAATTTTGTGGGGGAGGGGGGGGGAGGTCGTTATCCGGAAAAAAATTTTTCCGGGAAAATTTTTTTAGATAGGGGCCCCTAAAAAAAATTTGCCCCCGGGCCCCCGCCAACCTCTGGGCGGCCCTGTATATGTTGTCCACCAGACCACAACTTAATTCGAGAAACATTGTTTATACTTTTGTAGTGGCTATTAAGTTATGACCACGAAAATAATTTCGTCGCATATATCAAACGATTCAAGCGACTCCTGCTGCTATGATCCTTTTAATGAATGTTTACTGCAAGTTTGTTAATGATTAACGGGACATATAAATATATATATATATATATATATATATATATATATATATATATATATATATATATATATATATACTAGAAACACTTAAATGGATTTGAATCTTCAATCTAATGTTGTGGTGCACGAGTGCCTACCGTGGTTTACTCTCAATCAGAGGTCTAAAGGGTCATCTATGATGATAACAACGTCTCAGGGAGCAGGCACATTAAATTCAAGTCTACGGGTAGAATTTAACACTGTCCAGTTATAGAATACCAACAATGAGAAAATAGTTGAGGTTGTTATGAATGAAAATCTTTCCTTGAAACAGCAGATTGACAAAGTAGCAAAGTCTCTATTTAAAGGAATTCATCTTCTGAGACAGATCAAAGAGTATTTGCCTATATATTGGTCACCGAGTAATTTACTACAAGTGTTTCTTACAACCTCACATAGATTATTACTGTACAGTTTGGGGACAATCATGTCATATTATTCGCATACATAAACTCCAAAAGTTAGCTCTGAGAATCAATTACATACGACAAACCGAAGCTAACCTCTTCTGGGCTACTATTTAAAGCTGCTGGAGTCCTGCCTATACAGCAAAGAGTAATGCTACGAACAGCAATAATGGTATATAAATCATTAAACAACTGGGCACCCAAGTACATTCTGTCTCACTTCCTACCGGCCACAATCTGCGGGTATATGAAACAGGAATCTGGTATATATTTGCATGACCTGGACGTCCTTCTGAAAAAAACGGACTATCTTAGCTGGATATATTAAATATAACCTTGGGAAAATGTGACCATTGTGCTTTTAATATAAAGTGCATCAATACTCCAACTCCAATATTTCACTCTCCAACCGCATCCAAGTACTGAAATTGATTTCCCGAATTTCTTTGTTGACCCATAAAGACGAACATGTGTACTTGTTAAAATTAGACTGGTATGTTAGTTTTCTTATTGGAAAAACTTTTTTATTATATAAAGCTTGTCATATATTAATGATTGAAATTAATTAAAAGTCCCGACTGTTGTTTGTCCAAATATTTCTGTTGTCCAGCGTTGGCATGTAGAGTCTCCAAATTGAATGTAAATTTCAATTGTAATCCGACCCTTGAATTCAGATCACATCAAATATCAATTTGGATTTGTCAATCAACGCTATATTCAAGCATCCGCTTCAACTGTATATTTATTCAGAAAGACAAAAATAACAGATCGGACGTCGAACAAAAGTGGTGTAGATGACCGGAAAATAATGCCATAGCATGATATAATACAAACAAAGCAGGCCTTTTTTGCTAGTCTTAAAGAGGCCGTATAAAAGGACCTGGCATACGACGTTTAGGTAAATATAATTCTGTTTGTACAAAACACCTGAATTGAAAACTACTTGGATTATTGAAGACTAAGAAAGGATGTAAGTGTATTGCAACTTTGCCTGTAAATTACAGTGTGTACAGTGTTGAAATTTTTAGATGAAAAATAAAGAACGATCCCAGTGGATATCTCTAATCTATATGCAATCTTTTAAAGGGGGAATTCGAAGTTCTCACATGCAGCTGAACTCATGAATACAATTGCAAGCGCTCTTCTCCGTTATGGAGCGCTATAATTCATATATGTTTGCTGAAACCAATATATTTTTTTAGATTGACCAAAAATGATGAAACTTCTCTGGTTCATTTTCCTGGTTGGCATGTTAGCCATTGAATGTGAAGCATGGGGACCGCGTATACGTTTGCCGCGTGTTCGAATCCGAGTGTCCTCAGTTAGGGTGCCTGCGCCAAGATTGCGTGCGCCAAGATTGCGTGTGCCCGGGTTGCGTGTTCCCAGATTGCGTGTGCCCAGGTTGCGTGTTTCCAGATTGCGACTGCCGAGGTTGCGTCTGCGCAGAGTGCGCCTTAGGAAATTGTACAACATGGCAAAGGATACATTCGCCAATTTATATAAAAAGTTTTGCGTTGAAAATAAAAAAAGGAAGGACTGTGGTCTCAATTTATTGAAAAGAAAGGGAAAAGTCTGCAATACTAATCATTGCCTCAAGAAATTTATTTTTAAGAAGTTTGGCAAAAGGTCTGCTACTTCACAGGATTTAAATAAACGTAAGTATTCTTATAAGGCTACGTTGACATGCATGATAGAAAAACGCTCCGAGATCTGCGTTATCGTGCAGAACATTTCTGGATTTTTCGGCCGTATACATAGACAGTCGAGCTATGATGGTGATCTGCAAGCCCAGCAAGCTTTAAAACAACAGAATAGAAGGCATTTGTCTGAATTTGAACTGTATTTAACAGTGCGCAAATTATTTGTCTCAACTACATTATTCAAAATATTGTTGATCATGGTTGCACGTTTCATCACAGCTATCACCTAATTAGACGTTTACTTAATTATACAAACCACCGTAATCGTGCACAAATTAGTATAAACTCAGACAAAAACCTTGAGTACAATGACTTCTGCTTGGTTTCCAGACCTTCATATCTTGATAGGCTATTGATATTGCGTTCTTTTAACTTCATTATTTTCTATTTTCTCAAAAATCTAACGTCGTATATAGTAATTTAAAATACACATTTTCTTGTCATTTGATTGTAGAACCCTTTATGAACGACAACGTGGCAGTACCTAAGGTATCACGAAGCAAGAGAGGCTTTTGGATGTCCGTTGCTAACAAGGCCGCACTATATAATGAATGTTGTTCAAACGCATGTCGAGATAGCGATATTGTAAAATATTGCTTCACAGATAAAAATTAACGTACAACATTTACTGAATACACAAAACAAAGACGAAAAGCAGAATGAATTATGGACTTTATCATTTCAATAATCGTTGCATGTAGACATTAATAAGAACTACGTAAAGATCAACATGTATACCATTTAGCAAGAAAAAAGTAAAACAGCTCCAATTCAGGATAACTTTAAAATCAAGGCCTAATATAAAAATGCAAAAATAAGAGGTGCTTCATATTTTCAACCCAGATGACTTTGGAGAGGGAGGGAGGGGGGGGGAGGCGTGCTATAGACCGTCGGAAATGGCATGCTTAGAACCTTACGTGCACACTATTTCAATATTTTTGTATTACGTAATAAAGAAATTAAAGTATTACCACTTTCAGTTTAAAGAATCACTATCAACAGTAATGTTTAGCGCGCTATATGAATGTTAAAGGCCATGTAAATCCGTAATGTAAACAAACGCTTTGTTTACATTTTGAACTCAGTGCTACAGTTGTAAAATATGATTAGAGATATATTATACTGAATTTTTAACACTCTTCTGGTTCGCTATGATGTATTTGAATGCATACTAGAGATTCAATTCAAGAAAGTTCAAAAGATGCGAAATATTAATAACATTCCAACGGTCGGGTCCGACCATTGCAATGTAAGCCTGCGCACAACGTATGCGCAGAACGGACTTTACATAGTCTTTAACAAATACGGGGAGCTAAAAATAACACCGCGGGAAAACGTCTGCGCATGCGTCAACCTTACCTGTAATAGTATTGCGAACTTGGTGAGAAGCTGTTCCGAACGTTTCCGAAGGCTCAAAATGGCGGTAAAAAGGAGTGACTTCATTGTGCGTCTTTACAGCCAGATTTCGAGCGCAAAAATAAACATGTCATTCTAAAAACTAGGAATAAATACAGCCAGAAGGTTCAAGAAATTGTATTATACAAGAACATGAACTAAAGGTGATTGTTGACAAATTTATCGTCTGAAACATTTTGTTTATCAACTAAGCAATGACAATTTCCGAATTTTCGTTTGAGATACATTTCTTTAAAAAAAACTGTGTCGCCAAATATAAAAAATTTTCGTGTTCACATTAATTAAACTTTAGGATTTATTCTACATTTTGAGTGGGTTAAGAAGCTTCACTTTTCGAGAGTTTTCTTAACTTTGAGTTTGAATTTTTGTTTTGAATAATTTTACAAAAATTTTCGAAGTCGTGTCCGTTAAAATCAACAATTTTTTACATGAATTATATTTCATTCCATACTTTAAATGCCAGGACGCTTTCAATTAATGTCTAGTCTACCCATTTGCTATATTTTCTCGTTTGTTTTACTAATTTTTGACCAATTAATAAGCATGTTTTTGATTTAGAAATTGATATTCAAATTCCCCGCCATATTTTCATAATTTGGTGCATGCGCAGACGTTTTTCCGCGGTGTTGCTAAAAATAGTGTTGTCTTCGGAAATAGTCATACACTAAAATGATATGCATTACCATTATTATAAACAAAAAAAAACTTTAATACATTTACACGCTAATGCGTTTATGTTTTGATGAAATCCTGATTGCTACCCCATCACCAGCTACGTTCATGCAGTTCGTCCATGCTTTGATGGAGCAGAATTTCGGCGAACTCGTTATAGAAATGCCCCCGCATTCGCAGGCTCGCTTTCCTTTTCGTCCAAAGGACAGTTGTTCTTTCAACGATTTTCTTTTTGGCATACCCTCACTTGTTGGTCTTCCACGAACGAGAAATACGGAAGCCATGATTAAGTATCTACTTTAAAAAATGAAAAAACTTTCTAAAATCATTGCTTAAAGTAAAAACACACGCCAAAATCTCAATCAATGTTCTATTAACATATTCCAACTGTGAAAAATATGATATCGTCAAAGAATAATGCATATTAATTGATAAAGATACGCTTCGGATGTGAATCTTTCGTCACTAAAGTGGCTAATAAAATGGCGGAATGCAAAACATTTTAGCGCGCAAAAGCATCGCGAATGACTGTAATTATTTGATGTGACCACGAAATTTGAGGAAATTGTGGAGTCTCCAGATCATCAGAAGGATATTTGGCCATGACGCCTCTCAACCTTAGACATCTTATATAGACTAGACAGCGCATCTCGTTTAGTAAAATTGAAGCCAAGAATAGTCCAGCGGTTACCCCCATTTGAATAGATGGCGGCCATGTTGGTTTTTCCCACTCGTTAATAAACGCTTAAAAACAACAATAATATTCATCATTTGAATAGTTTAAAAATCTATTTGGTATAGGATTAGCCTCCCTTATTATTAAAGCTCCGTGATTACGAAATAGAAAACATACGAATCTTCTCATTTCATGGGAATATCCCGAATCTGCAATCACGGCTTCAATTTTTGAATTGTAGAATAATTAGACACACTATCTAGTGTATATAAGATATCTATGCTCTTAGCGTCTTTAGTTGGTCGATTGTTAACTCTAATTCTGATTCAGAATTCACCTTATGGGGCTCAGCTGCTTAGCGAAATTGCCTTTCACCTCTAAGATCGCAGGTTCAAGTCTCAGTCAGAACTTTCTCAACGCGACTCGAAGCCAGTCCTCACGTGGAGGGAGAAAATATAAGCCGAAAGTCGTGGGTTTTCTCCGAGTACTCCGCTTTCCTCCCACAGAAAATGTTGACGGGGTTGGTCAGGTAAAAGAGCCCATATGCAGTAATTTGCATATGCTGTTGTGGTAACCCTGCCCTAGTTGGCAAAGCTACATAAACAAATAAGTAAATAACTTTTTTATTAACGCTAGAATTACAACACGCGCTCTAGAGAAAAGTGGAATATTTTATTTTCAGAATTCCGGAGAAAACCTAAACAAACCTGTAATTTTTGCACGAAATTTGACCAATATGTTGCTTACAGTTGCAATATAATGAGATTCTGGCAATCCTTCTATTCATTCATGTAGGATTCCCTTCATTTTATTATATTTGCAAAAAGACCCAATAAAATCAAGTACTGCAGCATTGCAAGAAATTAAGAAATTTGAATGAATTTGAATGAACCTGAAGTACATGAGTATAGCAATGCCGCTTAATTGTAAAATCACGCATGTTTAGCCAGAATGGAAAATTATCTTGTTGACAAATCTTTAATGCAACACTATATATATATATATATATATATATATATATATATATATATATATATATATATATATATATATATATATATATATATATATATATATATATATATATATATATATATATATATATATATATAGAAAGACACAAAAACTTAGCAAGCTTTGTTTGGCATATTTATTACTATACAGTTTCGTACCACGTAAATAACGTGGCACTCTTCAGATAAAATAGCCTATGTTTGACCTATAGCTTCTATGTACAGATGGTATAAAGGACGCTTATCTAATTACAAATCAATTAACACCTCAAGTAAGGTGTTAATTGATTTGTAATTAGATAAGCGTTCTTTATACCATCTGTACATATTTAAAAAGTTCGTTAAGAAGCTATAGGTCAAACATAGGCTATTTTATCTGAAGAGTGCCACGTTATTTACGTGGTACGAAACTGTATAGTAATAAATATGCCAAACAAAGCTTGCTAAGTTTTTGTGTCTTTCTATTATGCTCTGGTTATCCATTGAGCACTCTATCATTGGTTTTTATAACCCTACACAAACTATTTTGTTATGTTTTCGGCATCGTCGTGGTCAAGCATACGTATACCTGTATATACGAGCGGGAATTTTACTTATCTTTGTTCTTTGCCAGACCATGCGAAACATGTTTGAATAAAAAATATATAGATGAAGTATCGGAAATCGGACTCAGTTTCCGTTTTCCCAATATACGTTTTAACAGAGTGTCTCAAAACGCTATGGAAATTCAACAGGCTGTCGTGCATTATAATCGTGGTTAAACAATTAAATGTTTACATACGACGAAAGAATAATTATTTAGCTTTTCAACGATACTCCTTTTAAATCGACACGATGAGAAATGGCCTCATACTCGTCAAATAAAAATTGCCGGTCGAAATCACATTCTTCCACCGTTGGGAATGGCATGTAAAACGAACCATAGACAATTTCCAAGAGGGAATTAAAATTAATTTAAATTATCTAAAATGAGCTCAACTCGGCGATCTTCGAATTAGTGAGACAATAACTCAATACGAACGTCCACAAAACATGATTCAATTAACCCCTGAACAGGGAACATTCGTAGTCAAAACGATTTACGAAACAAATAGCTTGCAGCAGGCTCGCGTTGCTTTTGGAATGACTGACTTTGCATAATTATGTATTATCAATTCCCACGTTGGAAGAATGTGATTTGGACCGGCAATTCTTATTCGACGAGTATGTGGCCATTTGTCATCGCTACGATTTAGAAAAGGTGTCATAGAGAAGCGAAATTACAGCCCTTTCGTCCTATGTAAAAATTTAATTGTTTAGCTAAGTTTATGATGCACGACAGCCTGTTGAATTTCCATGCATAGAGTTTTTTTTAGACACCCTGTAGAATAGTCAATATTTAATTCAATATGACTTTATACATACAGGGTGTATCAAAAAAAGGCTAGTCTTTGAAATTCAAATTGGTCATATTGTATTGAATTTATAATTTCTGCTAATCAATTAGCGAGCCGTAAAACAAAAGATTTTCTGCTTATGGGACCTGACTAAAAAACTCAAATTATCGTGTAAATTATATTGTTAATGTGCAGAACTTCAGGAGGATAAAATGGTTCAATTGACGACAGAAGAACGAATATTTATTGTTATGTATTACAACACGACCCACAGTTTAGTTTCCGTGCAGAACGCATTTCGGGAACGATTTCCGGACCGTAATCCTCCAGCACACACAACAATTCTAAAAAACGTCAGGAGGTACAACAATCATGGAACAAGTCTCAACCGAAACAAGACAAATCCTGGCCGGTCAAAAACAGCACGTTCCGAAGTTAATATTAAACAGATTTAGAAAAGATGACGCGACCTCAAAGACGACATGGATGTCGTCATTTGGCGCCAACTATCGTCAGCTTCTGGTTTGCCACGTCGTCTTGGACGATTTCACGACGCGAAAATGCAATTTTTACGTCCTCTCTAGAACGTCACAGATTTATCCTTCTTTTGAAAAAATATGAGAGTATATAAATGATAAAAATCATCCTATTTTGTTCCCCATGTATTGTTTAATGACCCTAGCGAAAGTTTTTTCATTAAAAAGGTTGTTTTTCTTGTATTTCGCAAAATTTTGAACGTGTTAATTTTTGACAAACACTTTCGGTCGCCATAACAAATCAACAAAACAGCAAGCATTGTCAATAACTACTTCAATGGCGCTAGTATTCTTCACCAAAACAAACATTTTAGAACAAACTGAACTGAAGTTATATTAACAACTGTTTAAAATCAGGAAAACTTGGGAAGATAGGAGAATAAAAGCCCTTAAAAGCAGTGAAAACTCAATCAATTTTAGTTACTCTGTCACAACAGTGCGAAAAAGTAGGACAAGTAAAAAAACGCTTTTCAGCGTGAAAAACTATCGTAAACAGTATTAAATTTTACCAATATAAGCACTGATGCCATATTTATACTACACAGTTGACAAACTTGATTGAATGGGCTACAAACTAAAGCATTTAGCTCGTAAACAATACCTGCAGCTATTGTATTTATTCCAAATGATGCAACAAAGTTCACTTTTCAAAATACCGAAATATACGTCTTTTTCTAAAAAAAAACTTATTGAATGTTTATACTAATTCATCAGGAAACACTTGGCCAGTATTATATAGCCTTTTCTTGCACATAACTTGACAACTGATTGAAAACAATACAGGAATGAGCAGGTAACAAGAAAACAAAATTTGCTTCGAAAAAGACAAACAAGCCGTCCCAGATTAAAACCCGGCAGTGATCGCGAGGTTCATACGTCATTTTCACGTCGCTTTTGAGGTCGACGAGGTCTAAATCTGTCT